CTTATCTGTGTTCAGTGCAACTAGCAAAGTTGTGAGGGTAATTAGAGAGCAACCCTTACCTTTGAAAAGAGACTGGAACAATTCCAGCTCTGTAGTGAGCAATTTGCAAGAAAGCAGGCTCTGCCAGATCAAAGTGTTGGAGGGGAGGGTTGCACCATCCACCATTGTCATTAGATTGAGAAGGGTTAGGTGGACAGAAGTTTGTAGCAGTCACAGTGATGGTCCCAAGGAGGCACAATTGTGGGTCATTGTTGCATTTGATTTGATAGCATGCTCCACAGCTCAAGCCATTGCTGAACAGAGCAGTGCTTAGTGCTGCGGTGTTAGTGCCATAGCCTTGGCTATACAAATTGCCATACCCACATGCACCTCCTGCCACACCAAATCAAGTATTAAAATCCCAAAACATTAAATTTATCAAATTTTACTAGAAAAACCTCATTCTTTTAACAGTCAAGTTTATAAAACTCAAACAGAAGTCACTTTAGTAGACTACAACTTAAGATAAGTAAGATGTGAAGTTATGGGTCAAAGCAATGCAATTTTGTTCTGCAAAATCAGTAATTCTAAAATCACATATTTTTTTATTTACAGCTAAGTGCTCAAAATAGCAACACTGCATTTTCATCTTAAATGGGGCCGCTAGAAAGAGTAGTGTTGTCAATACGAACTTATGGTGGGGTTAGATGTTAGGATGCAGTCACTATTGAACTTAGATAAAGACCTGCAAAGCTACAATTCAGTGAAATTTCATGGCAAATGAACATGTTGGTTAGGTAGGTTGCTCTCTCGTATGAGAGAGAGACAGAGAGAGTGTGTAATTGTATAGCGCAATGAGTTAGGAAAATGATTTTCTGCGAGGAATATTGATTTGGCTGTGATATTGTCTTGAAAATTAGACTCTAGTAATAATTGCAGGGAAACAATATGGACAATGCTTCACTCTCTCTCCCTCTATATCTACACAATAGGTTTCTCTCTATGATATAAAAATTTCTTAGTAGCTGATATGAACTAAGAAATATCATTGTCTCTTCCATATCATTTGTAGGTGGTAAATTTCTTAGTTCCTTTCTTATTTCTTTGGTATTTTTTGTCTCGTCCATCTCAGTAGTTTTAAAAATTTTGTTTCAAGGCTTCATCTTCTTCTAGAAAGAAAACCAAGCAATCAGCTAAAAAAGGCTCTTTTGATTCATATTCCTTTCGCTCTAAAGACCATCAAAATCTGTGTAATGCACAGTTCACTGATCGCAGTGTTACTAGAACGAAATGTTGAACCCAACACATTTGATGAGATTTCTATTAGGAATTGGTTTGATTGTTTGGGTGGTAATGCTGTGTTGAATTTTGATGACATAGTGAATAGGTCTTGGGTTCGAGAATTTTATTGCAATATTCATCCTCTAATTCATCATCTTTTTGGATGTATGTGAGGGGTAAAAGTTTTGAGTTTAATGCGGATATTGTTGCTAATATTCTTGGTCGCGAACGGCCTCTTGTGTGTGACTATCCCCAAGATAAGTGTTATGCTTCTATCCCAATTGATTTCAATCTCATTGCCTATACCCTATTAGGTGCTCCTTATAATTGGATTCCTGGTGTTTCACTTTCTCACCGTTCTCTCATTGCACCTTATAGGATCTTGAATCTCATTGTCTCACACAATGTCACTCTTACACTGCATTTTTCTGATGTGTCATATGATCAAGGGTACTTCCTCTATGCCATTAGCCAAAACTTGTCAATAGATTTTTCTGATACACCTCATATATAGTCAAACATTAAAATGCACTAACAATTACATTTGTGGATCATTTTTATTTTGTTTTCTATAAAAAGCAAAGGGACATTTTTTTTTTGTTGCCATTCATACAAATTATTAATAACAATTGAATATGAGACCTCACATCATAAAGTATGCTATATAACCATTAGAAAACATTACTTTAGAAAGTGTTGTTGGGTCCACAATGAAGTTCAAGTTTTCATTGCTGTTTGGTGGTTGATAAATAGGAAGCTGTAGAGTGTGTATTAGCATCAGGTTGCTGAGGTTTATAAGGAGGTCTGGGTCTTAGTCTTTCCTCAGATTGGTGGTTCTTTGTTTCCCCATCTATCTGTGCTGATTCTGATAATTCTGTGCTAACTTTGCTTCTGAGGTTGGGATCTGTTAGTCTGCTAAGCTCTGCTACTGTGACAAGATTGGCCTTAGTCTCAAGTTGGATTCATGTGTGGCTGGAGTTATGATATTAACCACTGATTTTGCACAGCATACTTAAGACTAGGTCTAGTTTTGCGTTACAAATGGTGGCTGAGCTAGTGTGTAGCTGCCTGCTGTGATGATCTCTAGTGTAGTGTCGTCTGCTGGGATGGTCTCTGGCTACTGGTCTGGGGAGTTTGCTGCTGTCTGCTGTGATGGTCTCTACTGTGGAGCTTGCTGCTATCTGCTGGTCTGTCCTAGTTGAATGTCTGTGTTGGTCTGCTGATCTGTGCTTTTTTTTTTTTTTTTTTTGGCTTTTGCTTTTGGATCTTGCTTCCTAGATATATAGGATTTCAAATAGGTAGCAGTAATTGTGCATGAGTTTCACCTACTTCCAATGAAATGGAAAAATGAGTAACATTAAAAAGAAGGTATGTTGATAAACATGTCAGTTTTGACATTCACAAGAACTAGAATTGGAAATGTAGTTAAATGTGAGAGACAGACATAAACGTCCAAACACATGCAAGCACAGCTATATGAATGCATGTGAGCTTCATATAAAGTACAAATGGCCTGTACTTGCATGTCAACACAGACACAAGCATGCATGATCTCCATTTATTAATTAATTTGCCCCCAATTGCGAATCTTAGTCATTTCTCCAACCCAATAGATGTTGCTATAATTCTCTTTACCTTGTCTATAGATGAGTCAGCAACAAAATGGTGAAGTTGAAACCCTCAAAGTTATTATGAAGGCATGTATAATATTGCATAACATGATTGTTGAAGATGAGCGAAATGAACAAAATATAGACTGTAATTATGATGCAATCGAAGAAAGTCTCCATCTAGCAGTGTCACATGAGCGTGCACCCGAACTTTATGAATTCATTCAAAATCATCATTACATCAGAGATAGACAAACTCATTCTCAACTCCAAGCAGACCTAGTTGAGCATTTGTGACATCTACATGGAGATTTGTAACAACTTGAATTAGAAATAGTTTATTTATTTTGAAGTTTATTCCTAACTTTGCTATTTATGATTTTTTTTTATTTATTTTATTCATTGACCTTTGTAAGGTTTTGATTAGTTATTTTGTGTTCTTTCAGTTCTTAATTTAATTTGATAAATTACAATTATTGAAGAACTTCCTTTGTATTGTTATTTTTTAAAAAAAATTATTTATTGTTTTCTTTTATTCTTCCCCTCCCCTCCCCTTCAAGATGGTTTCACAAAATTCATATGTTGGTATATATTCACGTACTATAAATTTTATAAAAAAAATTAAATATTACTTAACATTATTTTTTATAATATTTTTAAAACTAATATTAAAGAATATTATTTTTAAAAATATTATCGCAAATGTCACATTGGCAATCATATTAGCGTTTGGTGCGTATGTGGCATTTTATGAAAAAGATAGTAATATATATGGCATTTTTTGTTTTGAAAATTGGTTTAATTAGTTTGAATGACTAGTTAAAATAAAGAGTATGATTGAAACATACAATAGCTAAACTAATTAGGTAAAATAAAGAGTGTCCCTTTTTTGTACTTTAGCTAGTGAAAAATAAAGAGTGTGGTTGGAGTTGCTCTAAACTAGGAAAATCTTCAAATGTGTTCTATTTGGCTGTTGAAACAAATATAGATTGAAATTAAATTTATCATCCTTGTACATGCCTGATCCTTGTACATGCTTGGAATGATTGAATAATTTAAAAATAAAAATAAATAACTGAATAATGTGTTGTTTTGTACCCATTCCATGATTTATATGTTTCTTTAGGATAAGTTTGAGAGATTCATTTCAGTTTGAATGCAGAGCTTTCTCCAGTCTTTATCTCTACTCATTTTCTTCTTGGTCTTTCTTTGTCTCCTCTTTTTTGTTTTTTGCTGTTGAAGTGGAATGATGTTGTTTTGAACTACTCCACGAAAATTGCAGAGTGTGGACTGTAGAGGATCCGAACATGTTCTACACAACTGATAAGAACCAAATTCTACAACCACAATGTGATTAGCTCAAGTTAGGTACTTCTCATGATATTATTTGAGGTGCGCGTAAACTAGTCCGGACATTGGTCATAAATATATATATATAATGGCTTTATTAGGTGATAATGGTAGGCTAGCACTCTAAATGATGTACTGTTTATTTGTCAATACTTTGGATTGTGTTAGAACATTTTCACAGGAAAATAAAGAAGAAAGAAAGAAAGAAAGAAAAAAAAAAAGAGGGGGGGGAGTGGAAAAATTTCTTAGGAAAATAAAGAAGAGAAGAAAGAAAAAAAAAGGGGAGGGGGGGAGGGGGGAGGGGAGTATATCAACTATAATATATCAGTGATAATTGAACCTTTATTGTTGTGTGCTTCAAGTTCCAACCATATAAGAACCCATGAATGCATGTGAGCTGCACATGGATTTAGTTTGTTAATTTCTGCTTCTGTTAGGCATGTTCATAGCCCATCTTCTATTAGGTAATCCATATCCATGTTATCTGCTTTTTACTCTTAGCTCACTGTTCTATTGGTTAAATTTTCTCTGACTCATGATATTTGTCTTCTTATTGATGGTTATTTTGCTGTGGTTTATGTTTTGGTTGTGAATACTTCTTCTATTTACGCTAAATTGCTTTGGCTATTTTCTCACTTGATTTATGTGTGGTTGTAATTTATATAACTCAGTATAATCGTTGGACTTGAATTTTTTTTTAATTGAAATATATATATATATATTTTTCTATATAAAATTTGTCCTATTCACCTAACTTTAATTAACTCGGCATAGTCAGACATGGACAAGAGTTGGATTGCATTAGGTAGCACAGTTGATGGAAGGATAAGTCGGGCATATAATGATGGGGTAATATCATTTCTCCGTTTTGCAATGGCGGTTATCGATCGAGATGGTAAAATTTTGTGCCCTTGTCGAAAGTGTGTGAATGTTGTTCGTCAAAAATTTCAAATTGTTCAAATTCATTTGCTGCAACATGGGATTATTCCAACTTACACTATCTGGCACGTGCATGGGGAACCCCGTGAATCAAACGAGGCTTATCATCATGATATACCCGTTGAGGGCAATGAGGTTTTGGGAGGTATTGATGCCTTAGTGGAAGATCGAATAAGAGGGGAATCAACTAATACAACTCAAGAGGAGGAGGTTCGCACTTTTGATAAATTATTGAATGATGCCAAACGTGAGGTGTACCCAGGTTGCACAAATTACACTTTGTTAAAATTTGTCATCGAGATACTTAATATGAAGGTAACAAACCATTGGAGTAATAAGTCAGTTGACATGATGCTAGAGTTTTTAACAAAACTTTTACCGAAGGATAATTTGGTTCCAAAGTCAACTTATGAAGCTAAAAAAATACTACGTGAATTGGGTTTGTCATACGAGCTCATTGATGCTTGTGTAAACGATTGTGTGCTCTTTTGGAAGGGGAATGCAACACCAGATAAATGTCCAAATTGTAAGGCTTCTAGATACAAGACAAATCATGGTAGAGGTAAGAAGATCTCTCGTAAGGTTCTTCGATACTTCCCGTTAACACCGAGATTGAAAAGGTTGTACATGTCGAGGAAGAGAGCCGAGGAAAAACGTCTAGATGACGGTGTATTGAGGCATCCTGCAGATAGTGATGAGTGGAAGGAATTCGATACACAACATCCTAAATTTGCCTTGGAGCCTCGGAATGTGAGGCTAGGGTTGGCTACTGATGGTTTCAACCCTTTCAGAAATATGAATAACTCATATAGTTTGTGGCATGTCGTACTCATTCCGTACAACTTGCCACCGTGGTTGGCTATGAAGGACCCATTTTTCATGCTGTCATTACTTATTCCTGGTGAATCACAACCAGGAATTAATATTGATGTCTACATGAGACCTTTAGTAGAAGAATTGAATGAATTATGGAACAATGGTACATTAACCTATGATGCCTCGACTGGTGAGACTTTCTGCATGCATGCAGCTTTGCTGTGGACGATACATGATTGGCCCGCATTTGGTATGGTGTCAAAGTGAAACACGTCAATAGTTTCGGGGGTACATTTGTATACTTTTATAGTTTAGGGGGTCAAAATAATACTTCTCAATAGTTTAGGGGGTCTTCGTGTAAATAACCCTAAATTTTAAGATGATGAAACCTTGCATTATGATTTCTGAATAATTCAAGTGAGTCTTTAATACTTCACCATGCAGAAAAGTAGTTTAGCAAAACAGTAATGCTCCTAGCATAAGGAATATGTTATCACCACCCCCTTTCACAAAAAAAAAAAAAAATGAATGTTTTATAGGTTTTACTAACAGAATCTTTTATGCAATTTTGGCCCAGGAAGGGTGGTTAAATAACAAAATATATCTACCACTGCATTTCAAATGTGTCTACTAGGACTAGCACATAATAAGTTAAAATAAGGGCTGCCAATAACAGTTCAAACATTTAAAATTGTCTACCATAAAATAATAGCTAGAATGATAATATTTTGAAAGAACTCGAGAAAAGCTAGTGTTCATGTTCAAAGTTTCAACAACAGTAATCCTGCGTAGATAAAGAGATCAGTACAGCACTTTTTGAGTTAGGTAGCTTCTTCCAAGATCTATGCTCAAGGACACTGAAATGAAGTGAAATGGAGAAATTAGAGGAACGTATAGTACTCATACTATGTAAGTTTGAAAAGATCTTTCCTCCAGCCTTCTTCGATGTGATGGTTCATTTGGCCATTCACTTGCCACGTGAGACTATTCTCGGAGGACCTGTGCAATATCGGTGGATGTACCCGATTGAAAGGTAATTTCTAAAATTGTACTTTCAAATGAAAGGTATAGATTATGTTGTGTGCCTAACCATACTCCTAATTGGTTATCTCTTCAAGGTTTCTCGGATCTTTGAAAAAGTTTGTCACCAATCGAGCTCGACCAGAAGGTTCTATTGCAGAGGCTTACATTGTCAAGGAGTGCATTACTTTTTGCTCAATGTATCTTGAAGGGATTGAAACCGTGCATAATCGAGATGCACGAAATGAAGATTATGGAGTCCGTCGTGAAGGTTTGATAATATTCACCGAAACTGCTCGTCCTATTGGCCAAATCAGAAATCATGTTGAGATGTCACAGGAACTTCGTGATATTGCTCATTGGTTCTTATTGTACAATAGCCCTGAGATAGAGAAGTATCTTCAGTACGTGTTTCTTATAATTATATATATTTTAACAATTATCATGTTATTAGTCATTAATAATAGTAGTATTTCACACATTAACCAAAACTATTTGAGTAGGGAACACGAGAATTTGTTACAAATTCCCACTGGACAAGATATAACTCAGATACAACAGAAGGAATTTCCAAAGTGGTTCAAAGAATATGTAAGTCATTTTTAATATTCACAATTGCCCAAACACTATTAGGTTTGTATAAAATACAAACATTACTAACATAATTCAAGTGTTGCACATTGCATGTGGATGTAGATAAATAGATTGAGAGTTGATGAGGCACCAGAAGCAACCGAAGAATTGTGGTCCTTAGCGAATGGTCCTAATTTGCTAGTGAAAGAGTACTCGGGTTGTATAATCAATGGTGTCAGATTCCACACGAAGGAATTAGACAATCGTTGTAAGAGTCAAAACAGTGGTGTGCTTACCGAAGGGGACTACAAGGGAGAGATGCACGAATTCTACGGTCACTTGTGCAATATTTGGGAATTTGAGTACATGTGTCAAAATAAAGTTGTTTTGTTTCAATGTGAATGGTACAACACCGGTAACACTGGTAGAAGTAGAACAGTACGAGCTGACACATATTGCACAAGCATCGATGTCACAAGCCGATGGTATCAATCTGACCCTTTTATCTTGCCTAGTCAAGCTAAGCTAGTGTTCTACCTGAATGACACCAAATGGGGGCAACCTTGGCAAGTCGTGCAACGGGTCCAACATAGAGGTGTGTTTGATGTGCCAGAGGTTGGTGATGGAGAACCACCAGATCAACCAGAATTTAATGATGCATTCCAACAAGAAAACATTAACTCAGTTGTCCCGATCAACATTGAAGATATTATTCGATTTCATAGGGATGATATTGAAGCTGAGGTTATTTCAAATAAAACAAAGAGAGATGGTAGTGATGATGAAGAAGATGAAGAACTTGGCGTACTTGATGATGATATGGATCTTGATATGGAACCTGATATGGATTATGATATGTAGTTTTTGTTTTTTTTAGGTTTCTATATGGACATATGTTTTTAATGCATTACATGGTTATGATATATTTTGTTGCGTCTCTTCAAGTAAAATTATGCTTTATATTTCATGTTTGATATCAATTTATGCTTTTTAGTTAACCAAATGGCCAAAGGGGAGAAACAATGGATCAAACCAGGTTTTCTAGCGAAACAGAAGCGAACAGAGTACGAAATGGAAAGATATAAGACAATCAAGAAGAATAATAAGAAAATGGATGCTCTACAATTGAAGTGTATAGCAACTTCTTTGATGGGTTCTACTCAGCCCAATCGTGTTCATCAAAAGGGAAAGAAAATTAGGGTAGATGATGATGACTACATACCGTCAGATCATGAGGATGAAACTGATGCTGAGTCCTTTGAAAGTGTTGACGATGAGGTACTATATGTATGGCCATTCATTTTTTTTTATTATGTCACCGATAGCTATATATTTGTTAACGATGCTTTGTTAATACTATCTTTATATTTCCGTATACTTTATTGGATGAATAAGTCATACAATAAAACTAGAAAATATACATCCTACATACAACAATATGCATACCAAAACAAACTGTAGGAGTAAGTTAGCTGGAACACAAATGTATAACGAAATAAGACATAATTTGACCATGTTGGAAACACCAGATTGACAACTTGCAAAGCACACAATTAGGAAAAACCAATTAAAGATATTAGAACTACTGGTAGCTCACAACCACTCAACCACTCAACTTGCCTACAGGTTTTTGAGTGGCAACACCCTTTACCTGACCATTTTAAAAATATTCAAAGCAACCACTTGTTAGGACCAGTCTTGGGAAGAAAAGGTGTGGACTAGATCAGATTACAAATATCAACAGTGGCCTTGATGGGTTTCCATATACATATCTTTACTTATCCATTTTTATGTATTTGTTGTTTATACTTTTGTATTATGTTTTTAGGGCTTACCAATGCCACCAAAACGATTGGCGCAGTCATCTCTTCAACCTTCGCACGAGGCAATTGTTGTTCCAAATGGGGATTTACATGACAATGTGGATACCCAACACTCACAGCCACTTGATGTCGATATGGAGGCACCGAGGGAGGCAGCCCCCCAATCTAGTGTCGGTAAGATACTGAATTTTACTAAGCTAAACAAATTCTCTGTTTGAATATAATTCTATGGTGCAAAAAATTTCAAGCAATTTGTTTCATAGGGATTGATTTTTTATTTTTTATTTTAGTTTTGGTCTCACTTGTAATTTTTTGTCATATAACACACAAAGTTAACATCTCTATTAGAGATGCTCTTAGTTTTCAAGCATTCCTAGTTCTTTCAACAAAAACATTGAAGAAGGAGAAATTATTTGGGAACTTGGTAATCATTTGCCTACATAGGAAATTTAGAAGTACAACCATTGAGCTAATTTCAAGAAAAACTGTCTCTTTTAGGTGAATAAGTCATAAATTAAGACAATGAAATATATAACATATACAAGGGGTATACCTCAGGCCCTAATAACAACAGGACAAAGACTAAAACGCTGCTAAAAAAAATAAAAAGCCTAAACCCTAGAACATGACCAAATCAAACCCCATACAGACAAAGAGGGGCCATAAAATAAGGAAATATAGACAGCAAACAAAAATAAAAACAAACAATTTAGGAGGAGCATCCGAAAACTCCAACAAATAACCAACTGTACAAGACAAAAATAAACAACATTCTAGCTGTAGCAAAATTTTCCAATAGAAAAGGCAGTAATACCAATAGTAACAGTAGTAGCCAATAGCAACCAGATACACCAACTACGGCAGCATCAACCAACTACATGGCTCCATCAGGATTTGCAGATCCAACCAATCAAACAGTATCAATATGTACAGCAGTAACAAATAGCTCACTATAATAGTCCCAGATTTTAGACCATAGCATAGTTGCATCATGCCCTATAGTATAGCTCAGCTAAAGGTGCATAGAACCCCAATAATAGTAGTAGGTATACTAGAACCAACCACTGCCCAGTTTCAGCAAACCCAAGCAGCAAATACACCAACTCAAACATAGGATTACATATGTTCAACCACCACATAACGAGAGCTATGGGGGTGTTAAACACATGAGAGACCCATTTTAAGTAGTATAACAACCATCAGTTAGGACCAAAAGGAAAGAACAAAATACGTTGAGAACAAACACAGTGTAGTCCTTAGCCACTCAATCCACACTCTCAAATCACACATAAAACACTCAAGAAAATATATGCTCACATTCATCTCAACCCACCAAACAAAAAATTTCCTCATAATATGTATCAGCTTGCCAATTTGTATAACAAACATTAGAAAAAAAAATATTTATATGCTCAACATCACTCAACCCACAAGTCTCACTAGCTCCACACAAGTTTTTTTATTTAGGACGGTAGTTCCCTACCTTGCTAGGGTTAGGAACCTTTGATAAAGCTTCAGCTTCAGTTGATCATCTAGCTTCATCAACATCAGCTCAATTTTATCCATCTTCAGTTGATCATCTAGCTTCATCAATATCTATATCAGCTGTACCTACTACATTTGATGCCTTTGCTATATCTTCTACTGAAGCCGAATACAGGGCTATGGCTCTTGCAAGTGCTGAAGTTGCTTGGCTTCACATGCTTCTTAAAGATATGCATATATGCCATTCTTCTGTTCCTATGCTTTGGTGTGATAACTTGTCTGCTCTTTCTCTTGCTGCTAATCTTGTGTTTCATGCTCGGACAAAGCATATCGAGATCGATTATCATTTTGTGCGCGAAAAAGTTT